ATTTTATATCTTTCTCTGTATAGTATTTTACTGTTTTAATCCCTGTAATCCCTAATAATGTACCAAATTTGCACATTTGTATTTGTATTTGGAATAAAATTTAAAAATTGGCACGGCGTCTTCATGCTGAGAGTTATTTATTATCATGCTTTGATAAATTATTTATCATTTAAAATATTTTTTATTCATTCTCTGTATTAAAATATTAATACTGCTTAACGAGAATCCAAGTATTTGCCTTTCGAAGGTGTTTCAAATGCTACGCGAGTTCCTTCCATGGTCGTCGATATTTTGCAAAATTGAATAAATATCTTTGGGCTAAACATTAATATTTACGTTGGCACATTTCACAAACGCAATTGCGCAAACGTTTGAATTTAATAGCATTAGGGTAATTTCCAAAACCCTTTTGCCGTTTCCCTTTTTATTAAGCAGCAGTTATGTCCGCAAAGTTGTATAAATCATGCTGATCCTCAAAATGACGTTTCCAAATACCTAGGAACTTTTCGAAAATCTTGAACTTCATTCAAAGCAATCGCAATACGTATCTGTTTTAGAAATAAAATATCAAAAAGGATAAATATTTGTACGGAACCGATAGAAATAAAAATAAAACATCTCTTTATAAAATATCTGATAATTTGATGTGCATATGTCTAATGATCATTTTTGACCGCCATATAGATTTTTTTTTACATTTTTTGTGGGATTTCAGAAAGCGCTGGACCTGTCTTCCCAAAAGTTTAGTCAGTTCTTCGTTTCGTCGTTTCGTTCTCTCAAAAACTGAATAAACATTTTTGACCTGTGTCTTCAGAACGGATTCACCTACTTCTAAGTTCTCACCTAATCAGCACGTCTTACGAATCTAATGTTATTTCATTTTTTTCTGAGGTATACCAAAATGATCAGAAGGTTTTGAAACGTAGATGCATATAAAAATTTTTATTTTCGATTTTTTTGCGATTTCTATAACTACGGGCAGTTAAAATTTAAATGTAAAAGTTATGTACTGTAGTTCAATATGAAAAGTTCATGTTTTGCATGGTTTCTAAGGTTGTTTTTCATTAGTGTAGGTAACACCTAAAATTATATTACTTAAATTTATATAATATAAAACTAACATAAACACCTAAAATTATAATATCCACGCAAGAGTAGGTAGGTTTTCTACATCAGGCGAGTTCCTGATTAATGATAAAAGTTTTCTTTTTTATAGTAATTGCTAATTCAGGATATCTGAGTTTAGTTTTTCATAAATTTCCATAAATAGAAACTATTTCATATGTCCATATTTTATATCTTTCTCTGTATAGTATTTTACTGTTTTAATCCCTGTAATCCCTAATAATGTACCAAATTTGCACATTTGTATTTGTATTTGGAATAAAATTTAAAAATTGGCACGGCGTCTTCATGCTGAGAGTTATTTATTATCATGCTTTGATAAATTATTTATCATTTAAAATATTTTTTATTCATTCTCTGTATTAAAATATTAATACTGCTTAACGAGAATCCAAGTATTTGCCTTTCGAAGGTGTTTCAAATGCTACGCGAGTTCCTTCCATGGTCGTCGATATTTTGCAAAATTGAATAAATATCTTTGGGCTAAACATTAATATTTACGTTGGCACATTTCACAAACGCAATTGCGCAAACGTTTGAATTTAATAGCATTAGGGTAATTTCCAAAACCCTTTTGCCGTTTCCCTTTTTATTAAGCAGCAGTTATGTCCGCAAAGTTGTATAAATCATGCTGATCCTCAAAATGACGTTTCCAAATGCCTATAAAAAATATGGGGCCTACATTCACAAATGTTTTGGTAAACAAATATAGACTAGAAAGTGAGCACAAATACATCAGTTTTGATTTAATTGATGACTTTAAAATAAATGTAAATTTCAATATCAATTATTTTACCAATTGGGAATTCCATTCAATATCATTCTTATTTCAACCAAATATATTTTCATAAAAGTGTTAAGTAAATTTTTGTAATGTTACAACATTAACTAATTTGCCACAATTATTAGCTTCTCAACGGAGAGGTTATATGAATCCTAGAGAAATTCAAACATTAAGTTTTATTATATCTTTATGTTTCAATGCCATATGATTATTTGGCGTATATTAGGAAAAAAATTACGCATGTGTCTGTATTATGTATTCATGTATATTTGGATACAATTCTCCGTGAATGTTTTGAAATAATATATCAAGCAATTTGAATAATTCAAGAAAATATTCTTTTTGAACAGACAGTTGAGTATCTGATTAGTTGCTGAGAAAGCAGATCTAGCCGTTGCTGAGATATGAGGCAACTTTTTCGTAATGTCGATTACGTGAATCTGAAAAGCAGGTCCAGCGATTGTAAAAATAAGGATATTAATTAATTATCTCCAAAAATATCAAAAAGGTATTGAAAGCAGCTTAAACATATATGTACATGATTTTATATATGGCGCAGTTTCCAAATATCCATGTAAATTAATGCGTAAAAATTTGAATTTTATCAACATGCGTGCAAATGGTTAATTATGAGTTATTTTGGCATAATTTTTTAGAGATCTAATTTATTCTAATAATTCAAGGATGGATAAAATAAAAGTCTTACTTCAATAACAAAAATATTAAAATATTGAGATATTAGTTTGTATCAAACACTATCATATATAACGTGCAATAAAGGCTAATCTGCTGTGCTTAAGTATACTTTAACATTTAATTATTACCCGCTTATATAAAGTATCTCACTTTGGTTATATGAATTGAACTGTGAGAACGTTACAACATACAAAATGTGACAATAATTCAATATATCTATTCCTTCAGACCGTTCAGAATCATGACAGAGATCCCTTATTAGGACCGGGCCATTTGCATGCAATCGACCAAGATTTCCATTTCCTTCTTGTATTGGATGTAATAAAGATATTAGGATTTTGTAATTTAAAGCGGCCTGGGTTTTGTATTACGGCAACGAAAAAATTAGGGTTTATAAAAAACTTCATAGTAACGCAAAAAAGCATGATCGGCTTTTTTGGAAGCAAAATCGTTCGGGACAATCAAAGCGTTTCGTCTTCTCGTATGACGCTATGGCACTGTATAGGGAAGCTAGGGGCTATATTTTTTTTCATTTGGCCTTGCTAACTCTGAGCATTTAGCCACCTACAACATTATTCTTTCATATTCATTATTTATTCATATTTATATATTCTATACTAACTTTTATATCATATTCAATCTATATATATATACTATTCAATATTTTTCTTCATTTTTCTTCTTCATTTTTTTTAATTGTTTTCTTCAATTCTTGCTCTTTCATATTCAATTTCTCATTCTATTCAATTTCTATCTTCATTCAATTTTTTTTTTCAAATCTCCGCGATTATTAATACTTTTTCTTTTTTACTCCTAACAAAATTCATCTATTCGCATTATGTAATTCATATTTTTTTTAATGCTAATTCAAATTCTCAACTTAACAAATACAATTTTTATTCAATTTAAAATCAACTACATATATTTTTTCCTAAATTTTATGTCAATGACAGGATTCGATCCAAAGATCCCTGTCCTGTGAATCGAACAATACTATATGAGTTATGCTCGCTACAGGAAAATAAATATGGATAGTTCTATTATACCAAATTAAGTATAAATATCTATTCTACCAAATTAAGTATAAATAATTTCACAACTGTTATTCATTATTTTACAATCAATCATTCTCTAGAAAAAGTGCGGTGTTACAACTTACTCCGTGTTTGGGGCTAGTTGTAACGTCTACCAACTAGTTCGTGTTTGGGGCAAGTAGTAGGGGAAAGTCCCGTAACGCCGGACGGCACCTAGCGCCGGACACTTTATTTAACACGTATTATTTAAGCGAGTATAAATATTTATATTTTATAATATAAGTAAAAGGGGCGCGGGGGGCACACAGGTACAGGATCACACACCGAGCCTCGCATGTGACGCACACGGCCACGGAGGAAGCAATCGTTTGCTGTTTTAGTCGAAAAATCACGGCGTCACCTAAATATCAATGAGAGTAATTCTAGTATATATATGCATTTATATTAGAGTGGCATTTAAAGATAAAAGTAGGACTTGATTGTTATCCGTAAAATAGTAGAATATTATTAGATATTTTAAACAATTTTAGTAGGTACCACCAAATGAAAAAGTCCCTTAGCGCAGGACAGTATACATACTGATATTTATTGCGAGAATTGACGTAACTTATTCTAATTATTTTATTTTGTTTTGTATGAGTGCTAGCGGTCACTAAATACCCCTGTTTTTCGTATTACCTAGTCAAAGAATGAAAATCTTATGATTAAGAGCATCGGTGTGGCCCAGCCAAAAGGGTGCATAAATATTTTTTAGCAAAGGTTGCGTTTTTGTTAATTTAGTTTGATTTCTATATTTGTTATATAACATAAATCATAATTTAATAAACATTTCGTAAAATATTTTTTGATTTATTCATAAATAATCTTAGGTGTCCAGCACTCGGGGACGTCCCCCTAACGACAAAAAAACGAGAATATTATCTTTGAACATTTTTTTTAATTATTTCTAAAAAAATACTTGTTTCTATGTAATTCTTGTAATAAATTAATTCAAACTAAAATAAATACAAATAAAGTATATAATATCTACTATAATATAAATTTTTCAATCATAAATTATCGTAAACTATAATCAATATCATAATACCAATGGAAGATATAGTGTCTCATGTAAAACAATTAACATTTGCTCACATCTTACAAACTATAAACTCTTTCCAATCATCTTCACTTGAATCTGTATATAATTCAACATTAAGCAGGACGGTTTACATGTTCAATCGAGACAAAAAAAATCTTTGAATATCTTTTAGGATTCTATTGAAAAACACCTGTTACCCCTATTGCATATAGCCCCTAGCTTCATTATGCATGTAGCAAAGAATGTATCATAATGAAAAATTAAAAAAAAAAATAGGTACCTGTCCTGCGTTCGAAAGAAGAATTCGAAGCGCACTCGTTCGGTAGTGGCGATCGTCTAGGGTGATATTATCCGGTATTGGCCGGCGGAATACTGTAGCGTTGACGGATCCGTTAGGTTCTGCGCGTTCCGGCCGCGAAGTCGCCACCCGTCAATTCCCACCGCCAGCCCACGTGTACCAGGTCCGCACTCCAACGCACCATGTCGTCACACCGACCGACTGCAAGGACGAAAGATACGTTAGATGAATATAATGTATTGTCATTGATATATTTGCACATGCATTTGTACAAAAAATATTTGAAAAGAATGGACAAACAAGCCCGCGAACATAGCCCAGTGGCGGACGTAGATTAGAGGTAGCATGTCCGACTCACATGCCGGAGATCGTTGGTTCGACTCCTGGCGCTTCCAAATAATTGTTAATTTGTAGAATACAAGAAAAAATAGAAGTAAATAGGAAAAAAGAAGTTTAGAAGATGAAAAGAGAACATATTGAGAAACAAGAAGAATGAAAATTGAATGGAAGATTAAGATATAAGAAGAGATAGTATATATATATATGATGAAAGTATAAGAAATATATATGTAAGAATTGTATAGAATGTGATGAAGAATAAAATGAATAATGTATGTGGCTAAAAATGCTGTAAATTTAAAAAAAAAAAAACTTATCCCAAGGGATATGTTGGTAAAGTATGTATAGGATGCCCCAGATTTTCACGTCAAGCCAAAAGGAGGTGATAATATTTTAATCGAAAGAAAAACATTTAAAAATATGAGCATTGTAGAGCCTTTAAGTGCAATGTGGAGCTTTGGTGAAATTATGACTATCTATAGCTAATGCGGTTAAGTTTTATTAATTTTTCGCTTATTAATTAACTTCCCAAAGAAGAAGTTTATGTTTTTATCACAAAATTCGAGTCGCTAATTTTATGTTTTCTCGGCGTTTCAAGCCATTCTGAATCGAATGAGACCAAATTTGGAACTAGTTGGTATTGGTATTTTGCATTGAGAAAAGTTACATGAACTTCCCGATATGCAATGATAATCGACTCAATCAATAAAATTTAAATTAAATTATGAGTGATTAAAAGTATTCCGAGTGGATTTATTACACATATTTGAAAACGAACGAACACTCAATTGTTATACCAAGTAAATCGTCTAATTTTCATTTCAACAAACGTCAAAAAAACTACTCATTTTCTCAAACTTTGATGAATTTTTAAAATTAAACTACTTGTTGCAAGGCCGTAATATTTCAGTAAGTTCTATAAAACCATGATATATATCCCCAAAAAAAGCTCCATCAAAATCGGATCCAATTTTTTTTCAACAGTTAATTACAAGAAAACGGCTCGGTAGATTTTCACCTAAAACTAATCAGTATCACTCCCAACTAATATCTTTCAAACAGTTATTTAAAATCGATTCGGTTGTATAAGTTTAAATGTGGATGAAAAGTTTAACTTTTTTTTCAAATTACAAGGAAACGGCTCGGCATATCGTCTCACAAAACTGATAAACGATAGTCGTCATTAAAATACATGAAATGGCTTTTAAATTTCTGAAATCGGTTCAGACGTTTTTGGGAAAACGTCGATCAAAGGTCTAATTTTGACAAATTCCAAAAAAACGATACTAATTTTTACAAACTTTGACGAATTTTTAAAGTTAAACGAGTTGTCGTAGAGCCGTAATGTTTAGTATGTTCTACAGGACTATGGTATCTACTGTCCAAAAAAATATGAGAATCGTCAAAAAAAAAATTTAACACTTTATTACAAGAAAACGGCCCGTTCGATCTTTACCGAAAACTGATCAGGTCGATTCCCAACCAATATCTTTCGAACGGTTTTTGAATTTTCAAAATCGATTCAGAATTGCGGGCTAAAACGTAGACGAAAAATTTTTCACTTTTCTGCGATTTATAAAGAAACGACTTGTCTGGTCATCGCAAAAAATTGAAAAACGCTAGTCCTCATCGAGATGCATCGAATGGCTTTTTTAAAATTTTTGAAATCGGTCCCGCCGTTTTTGAGAAAACGCCGAAAAGGATCAATAAAATTTAATCACATTATCAGAAAAATGGTTAAAATTTTACCAAAGCTTATACCAAAGGTTATACTTGAAATTTTATAATTTCCAAGCAATATAAAATATTTTTTTTTAATGTTTTGAGGGCAATTACAGTCAATACTATTCAAAATTATTCGGGTAAAGTACCATATTCAAAAGTGTTATCCGGAATGTTATACAAACATCTCCCAATACTAATACGAATATTTTTCTATAGAATCAGCACTGAAATACGATCGCCATAAATAATAGAAAAATCTACTTGACAGCAAGTCGCATCTTATAGTTATGATACATAATTATATTTGTTCCTTATACGATGATGTATCTTGGCAAAAGTTGTTGTTTTTGGAGTGAGTGCCCGTATAGTCATGTCCAGCCGGCTACGGGCTCTCATCGTTCTAATTCAAGTTATTTCTTTTTCGCATCCGTTGGCTAATTAGTTTATCCGTTGCTTCAGAACGTACTGCCCGTTGTATCGAGATAAAGCAATTCTGCTAGGAGATATAGTATCAATTACTGCGATGAATTTGCACCTATCTGGTGTCTGCTTTCGACGAAATTTTTTTTATTAGAATCATTAGATGTAATTCTGATATCGAAATGTCACTTGATACTCTTACGTACAGAAAACTATTGATAAAGCAATAATTAAGGTAATAAAAATAGATTTGATGTTGATACTTTACTATTTTCAGAATCTTACAAGTGTGATACGTCTCGAGCAGCCTAATGCCATGGTGCGGTGACATCGAATTTTACTTGAAAATATAGATAGCAATATTGTTGCAAGCAAAATAAATTAATGCAGAATATAATATGTTTTGTGTTCCGTATCAGTGTATGATAGTTTACTTATAAAAATTAGTCATAACGAACGGCTTCATATATTAAGGTGTCCTTTAGTTGATTAGTATTGAGGAGTTACATTACTTATAAAAAGATATTTATAATGTGAAGCAAGACTTAAATTTTCACGGGTAAAAAGATCCATCATCGATATCTCAAAAACAAGTAAAGTTAAGTATTTTTTAACTTCCCGTAGGGCAAGTTATAGTAATCGCAAAAAAATCAAAAATGAAAATTTTTATATATCTTTACGTTTCAGAGGTTTCTGAACATTTTGGCATACCTTGGAAAAAATGGATGTATGTGTGTGTGTATGCATGTATGTACGTGTGTGTATGTATGTGCGGATACAAATTTTCGTCGACGATTTCGGGAACACGGATCAACCGATTTGAATAATTCAAGTTTTTGGCGAAGGCAGGTCTAGCCGTTCCGAAGATACGGGGTAAAAAGTGCCGAAAACGGTAACTCAGTTTTTAAGAGAACGGAGCGTCCGATTTGAATAATATTAGAAAATATTTCACTTGTATTGACAAGATAAAGAACCGATAAAATTTTCATGAAGGTAGGTCTAGCGGTTTCGGAGATATGGAGGAAAAAGTAAAAAAAATGAGCCATTTGGCGGTCAAAAATGATCATTAGACATATGCACATCAAATTATCAGATATTTTATAGAGATTTTAACAATAAGTATACATTTTGTTTACATTCCTATGGGTTCCGTACCAATGCTTATGCGTTAAACAGCGACGCGGCGCTTACGCGCTTTATATTTTGTCCCTATGCAGTTAAAGCAGTACGATTGCTTTGAAAAGAAAGTTTAGGTCTTCCAGAATATGTCAAAATAAAGAAAAAACTAGCTGTAAGTGAAATTCTGTCTTAAGGCAATTAAGGCATCGTGCCTTAAGGCAAATTGCTGGAACTTCCCGTACCAAAAATTATTATTTTTTTTAAAACGAACATTTTTGAAAAAAAAAATACTTTGAAAAAATAAGATTTTTGAGAAACTATAAATTGGACAAAAAATTACTTTTTTTTTGAAAAAAAAAATTTAAAAAAAAAGATTTTTATTATAGTAGCAATTTTTTTGATAAATACATTTAATTATCCAGTTAAGTAAAAATAAAAAATAATCTTTCTATGTTTCTGTAAAGCCCAGTTTTACTGAACATAGTCAGTTAGTTGTTTGTTGTGATATATAGTTTGGTTTACACAATATATTTGCTCAAAATCAAGTTGGACCTTTGTGCCCTGCACTAGTCCATATATATATATATATATATATATATATATATATAAATATATATATGTGTGTGTGTTTGTGTGTGTGTGTGTGTGTACTCGTGAATGTGCGAATATATACTCTCCTATCTTAATGATCAAGTTCGTTTTATTCAGCCGCCCACACTAGTAACTCGACATTATCGTATATGTATGCAAATATAAAGAATTCATTTGCATTTTATTCTTATACAAAACGAACTCTTAAAACAACATTTTTCTCTTATTAAAAGTAAGGGTAGTTATTAAGTCGAGTTGAAAAATATACTTCGTCCTTGTTATAAAGTTTGAACATTCCAATTTTCCAAATAATTATTGGTTACATTTCCACGGAGCTTGAAGTTTGTTTGAAACTCAACTTGTCATTTGCAGAAATAAAATAGTGGCGTTGGATACTTTATTTCCTTAAAGAACTGATTGCTCTCAGAAATATTAGTTTACGAGTTTTCTTAACTTGATAATAATATCTTGAAAGTTAAAAATGCTGCGAAGATGATTTATGGTTATAATTTCTATTTAAGTGGTATTTTTGCGGATTACGTAAAATGTGCTAAACTAATTAAGCCACAAGATTTATGTAGCAGGAAGTGTAAAATAAAAACTGTTAAACTTAAGACAGCACTTGTAGTAAAGGCGTTTTAAATTGCGAATAAAATACTAAAAATATTACAATATTACAAAAAATATTATATAATAAATTATAGCATGTTGTAACAAATATGTCTGCTCCAATGGATAAAATAATATTTTGAAGATCATGTTAAAAAAAACTAGAACTAAAAATAATTGTAAAAGATATAAATTAAATAGAGGCTATTCTTCATAAACATTTTAAATGTACATAGACGTAGACAAATGTTCAAGTAATCATTTAATTTTTTCCTAGCTAACTGATAAATTAACAAAATTATGGCTGATCAAAAAAAAGTGGCACAACCGTAACCAGTCTTTTCACAATACGTTTCTTTTGTATACCAACTATTTTTTTCAACTAATATCATTTGAGT